CCGTTAATTGATTCGGACGTTACTCTCGCTCACAGCCGTTATTTTTGTCTCTTCATTCAAAATGGCTGTGAGGGAAGATCAAAGGATAAAGAACGTCAGAAGCCAATAAAACCAGGAGAAGGCCATGGGCAAACGACTTTTGTTGTGTGGTCTATTTGGTTTTTAGTAAGGGTGGTAGAGAAGGGGGGCTTTTGCCAGGAAAGAAAAGTTTCAATTTGGAAAGAAATGCAAGGCCGAATCATGGAATGACATGGAAATTATCCCTCCTCCCCGGGAATTTGTAGGGCGTTTGTTCTTGTTTTTTTTTTTCAGAACCACTGCAATTGCCCTACGGTAGAGGCTGGGGGCCGGGGATTCATACAAAGACCTCACGGTGGGGCTGAAATAAGTGTGCAAATGCCTAGCCTGCGTGGCAGGCGTTTGAAAGGGAAGGGAAAGGGGGTTTTGGGCGCTAGGGAAACTCGAGGGGCGCGCGAGGAGGGAGGGAGGGCGCGCCCCTCGAGTTTCTCTGGCACCTAAAACTTCCTTTCCCTTCCCTTTTAAACGCCTGCTACGCAGGCTAGCAAATGCCCGACCCCGGGATAACTCTAAAATTGCATTTTATTGTCATGTGTGGTTGAGGCCTAAACTTCAGCAATGTTATCAAATTTTATTTGAAGGAGACGTTTACCTTAAATGTATACTACTCGCGAGAAATGTTGTGTTTAAAATTGGATGGATCGACTTTTTCATATTATGGAAGAAGGGGTGGGACAAGTAAAACTAGCAACTCAATACCCATTAAAATGTAATTTATTGAAACAGCGTGATCAATGATTAAGATTTAATCTTTTATAGTGTACACGAAGGAGATGGTGTTTCAGCAAAAACTCTTAGAAAAAGCCTATATCAATGTCGAAATGACTGGTCCGGCCATGGTCCGGCCGGCCACGCAGTTCTGACTTTTGGAAGCGCCTTTAGTATAGTATCAAATGACGACTGATTAAAAATGATCACTTCAGAAAACAACAACCTATGGTGTGGTGTATTAACGGCTAAGTTGAAACTCCCATTTATACACGTGGAATATATTAAGCCATTCATTAAAGGATAAAATGATTATCCCGTACCGTGGTTGTATGTAGGTAACGGCTAAATTGTACCTCCTATAGCTCACTCAATTCCCACCCGTCCCGGGCCTTTCTGTCAGGGTGGTGGGGAATTTGTAAATAATACAAAATAGCGGCTAAGATCGTTTTGCGAAGGGTGCTTCACTGTCAGGTTTTCCTCACACAATAATGGCTCCTATCATTATGGCATTTGCCGGTGATTTTCTGGAAATGCAATTTTGGTGTTGTCCTGGGTTGGGGCATTTAAACCCCTTTATTAAGCTCCATCGTGGGGTGTTTATGAGCCGCCTAGCCCCATCGCCATTAACCTCCTCTTCAACAATATATAATAACCTCCTCTCCATATATGTATTGGAAATATTTAGCCGTTGAATAACGGCTAAGTTTAGCAGTCTCTTTATATGTTTTGGAGGTATTTAGCCGTTAAATAACGGCTAAGTTTAGTTGTATTCTTATATATATGGCAAATATTTAGCCGTTAATTAATGGCTAAAAATGCATGATACTTATATAGTGAGAAATAGTTAGCCGTTATTTAACGGCTAAAAATGTATGATACCTATATAGTGGGAAATATTTAGCCGTTAATTAACGGCTAAAAATGCATGATACTTATATAATGGGAAATAGCCGTTAAATAACGGCTAAGTTTAGCTGTATCCTTATATACTTCGGAATATTTAGCCGTTAATTAACGGCTAAAAATGCATGATACTTATATAGTAAATTAATTAATGGCTAAAAATGCATGATACTTTTATCGTGGGAAATAGTTAGCCGTTAAATAACGGCTAAGTTTAGCTGTCTTCATATATATATGGGAATTATTTAGCCGTTAATTAATGGCTAAATTTCTCGTTTGTATAAATATTTATGAAAATTTAGCCGTTAATTAATGGCTAAGTTTTTCGTTTGTATAAATAGTTAATGAAAATTTAACTTATAAATAGTTAATGAAAATTTAGCCGTTAATTAACGGCTAAATTTTTGGTTAGTAAAGAGTAAAAGTTAGCCGTTAATTAATGGCTAAATTTCTCGTTTGTATAAATATTTATGAAAATTTAGCCGTTAATTAATGGCTAAATTTTTCGTTTGTATAAATAGTTAATGAAAATTTAACTTATAAATAGTTAATGAAAATTTAGCCGTTAATTAATGGCTAAATTTTTGGTTAGTAAAGAGTAAAATTTAGCCGTTAATTAATGGCTAAATTTTTCTTTAATAATAATACAAAGTGACTTAACGGCTAAATTTTTCTTATAACTACAGTGTGAATTTATTGCAAATTTTGCCATTGTCTAAAGACCGCGCATGCGGAGTACGAGCACATCGGTGAGGCCGGTTTGACGACACTGAGGAAAACTGAGGAAAATATTTACTTGCCTTTGGTATTGTGTATATCCTCGATCACTAAACAATAACGCACAAATATTATAATTCAAAGGGCATTTACAACACGCGCCAAAAGAGCCGTGATCCCGCCAAAATGCTCGAACCATCTAACAGAGTGTAAAAAGGGGGCTGGTGGGCAACACACGACTTTTACCTCGTGCCAAAATGCTGCTTGTTCCAAAAATTGTTTTCCCTGGTGGGTATATTATATTCTGGGTTCTACTCTTTGAATGAGTAAATGTGAATTTTGCCGCTTGTTTCATACTGAGAGGTCACGACAAGCTTATTGATTTTCTGCGGTTATTGTTTCTGGTCGGCATGATTTGCCCTCTGATGCAAGAGCACTTTCTTCGACCTCTTTTGAAACGTAAATCTCTTTCTTTGCGGCTAAATAAGAGTTTTAGGTTCTTTATTCTTCTCCAAAGTGCCTCCTGGATCTGAATAGCTAAAGGCGACATTCTTTTGTCCGTGAATGTGATGGTTTCCTTCAATTTATGTCACGCTGGGCCCAGCACGTTTAGTATTTACTGCACATAGGCGTACGGGCCGGGGGGGGCGAGGGGGGCTGCAGCCCCCCAAATTTTGGGCAACTCAGATTTTTTGGGCAGCGAGAGAAAATTTGGGCAAAACCAGTTTTTTAAGACGTTTCCGTGTTTTTTAAATCATTATTTTGAAGAGAAGAATATTTTCTGTTTTAACCTGAAGTTGGCGTAATAATCCAGTACTGTTACATTCACACGAGACAGTGGTTGCCTAGCACGTAATGAGTTTCTGGTTATAAGGGAAGGGTATCATGTTCTGATTTTTTTTATTGTTGGGCACGGTACTGCAATGGGCTATTTCCAGTCATGAATTGATTAGAATAAACTTCCGCCTAACTTTCTAGAATCATCTCCACTCGTAGAACAGTGTATGGCAGATAGCATCAGCAATGGGTCTGAAAGTGAAGAAGTGGCTGACTAATTCTCAGTTTGAATTACGCGAAGAATCGTAATTTTTAAAACAAAAAAATCTATCGAGTGGTTTAAAAATTATTCACTAATTTGTTAAAGTCGACCGAAATGTTTGCAAAACCGCTAAAGAGAGCGCCATGATACATACTAAATACTCAAATCCTATTTTGGCCAGAGCTATCTCCATGATCTTTTACCCACGTTTTTAAAAAGATTGAAACTACTATGAGGTGAAATTGCATGTCAAAAGCGCTTCGTTTTCTACAGATAACGGCCAAACATCAAGATTATCCTTTTTTACCGTATTTCTAACGATAAAAACTTTATCCCAAAATATCTCCACAACGCTCTTACAGATTCCGTTTTAACTTCACGAACATCGAGGCGACTATTGGAGGAAAATGCTCCCGTGAACGATTTTGGAAGAACAGTTCCCAGTGAGAAATGTTGCTGCAAGTATAATAGGTAATGGCGTCATTTGGTTGCTATGACAACTCCGATGTTATTGCAACCCGGATCATGACAAATTTTCATCTTTATCTACTACAACTGTGGTGGCAATTTTTCCAAATGTTTGTTTATGGTGTCGTAGTCTATGCTCAAAAAAACTTCACAGGTATTGACCCTGAAAAACTGTATCGAGCTACTTTCACATGCTAGTACGGCCTATGTTGTTGCATCGTATGGCCCTCGTTTCTGTTCGACTGTTTTGTAAAAATTTGGGCAACTTGCAAGAATTTTTTGGGCAAATGGTTTACCGCCCCCCCCTGGCAAAAAATTGCCCGTACGCCTATGTTACTGCACGATGTTAAATTTTCACCAAAAGTAATTTACAGATCCAAATTTCAAGGAATGGATTATAGGAACGCATTTTGTGAAGAGAGATTTTTTAAGTAAAAAGAACTCGGATCCTTAAATCGATCGTGTTTTAGCTAGCCAATTGCAGTTTTCATATTCTGTGTTAGTTTGGATGATTCAGTGGATTTAGTCTCTCCGCTCCCTCTTGGCTTACAGGCGGCTCGCCCAAGTTTAAGAGGTGAAGAGAGATTTTTTTCAAGGGTAGAAAACTCGTAGCTTGAATGGATCATGTTTTACTATCTAGCCAATTGCAGTTTTCATGCGCTATGTTAGTTTGGATAATTCAGTAAATTTTTCTCTCCTCTCCCTCTTAGCTTACAAGTGGCACGCCGAAGTTTAAAGACATTTCCAATAAGAAATTGATCTAAAAATTGATCGTGAAGTTCGTGAAACTAAACTAAACGTAAATTTATACAACGATGTAATGAACTATACAGAGCACCAATCTATGTTAATTTTATTAATTTTACGTATCTGTTTTAACACAAGGGCGTGACGTCAATAGGAGGTCACACACGTCCCGATTGTAACGCTAGGTATGACGTCAGAATAAAATTGGTTGAAACGTGACTTTTCGTGTGTCTTACATGACGGGGGAATGTTGGGAGACTTTTCGTGATGGCTTTACGTGTAGTACTAGCCCCCATGAAATCCTGGACGCTGATTGGTCGAGGGTTAATTAATTCAGTCACGTGTTTGAAATACTTAACGAAGCTTGTATCAGAAAAAATGCTAATAGAATTTGGTGGTTATTTTCGCAGGTGTAACTTTGTCGAAGTCCTGAAGTAACAGCCAAGTAAAGTGGGTGACCAACAACGCCATTGCCAAGATCTGTTACAGCTAAACACTTAAGAAGAATCTGCGTTAAGGAAGGAATAGACGAAGCCTTCTTTAGCCCGAAAATTATACTCAAGTTTCCCAGAACTGCGGTGAAAGAGAACAAGCCATTTAATACTAGCATCATCTTAAACAGTGTGTCCAATTCTTCAGGTCTTTCGAAATACTTTTCCAGAACAACATTGCACAATTTTAAAGAACTATCCATTTTTAAATTAACTGCGCGTCTTGCCCTCAAAGAAGATGTTCAGGCCAGATCAAAGTGCGACACGCTTTCTTCAGCTCTTTCTTTGCGCTTTGTCCGCAAAATTTGGCGTTAATGTCAATTGCTGAAATCTTATATAAAGGCTACATTGCGGCTGATTTAATTTACTTGTTTACATAGCAATGGGGCTGTAATATCAGTGAAGAAGTGCTTTACAGCAATAATAGTGATTGCATTATGATAAGTTCTTAATAGGGAGCTGGAATACAAAATGAAAAATTGAAATTGAAATTCGTATATCCTGTGGCTTGTTGACTAGTTTTAAGATAATAGAAAGAAGTAACAAGGGTCTGCAACCATAGGAGAGGAATAGCAAGGTGGTGAATCTGTATTATTTTCGTAACGCTGTGAATCATAACACTGAATTAATACGAATTGAAACGTACGTTCAATCTTCTTTGTGTCGCGAATTTATATTATTAAGTTCAAGTTAACTGTGAGATTTTATCTGTCACTTTATTTGTTGCTGTCGTGAATTTAATAACTTGCAAAATTTATTAACCGGCCGGCATGTTCATCCTCTCAATTTCATTAGCAACGCGCATTACAAACCAAAGCTATCAAAATGGTCATTTTCAGTGAGAGATTTCACAATAGGCAATTGATTGAGAATTTCTCCCCAATGGCTTCATTATTTCAGTCCTTCTTTTGATAAATTTATTTATTTTTAACTTAGTAGAAAGTTTCTTTTTTCAAGCCAACCTGCTGTTATTTTATTTGTTTGAGCTATTCTTATTAAGACGACAATTCTCTTTTCATTCTGTCGAGACCTAATTTCATCTAACCATTCTTTAGTTTGCAGCAACAAAAAGAAAACTCACCGTGTACACAACTAAAAAAGACAAAGCCCGGCGCGGAATGCATATAACCTTTTTAAACTAACTGACAATTGAAAGACTAGAAAGTTAATTTGAGGTTGAGTCCATTGGCCATGGGACGAAAGCAGTTTAAGGCACTGCTCTATTTCCTCTTCAACTTCAAATGAAATTAAAATGCCGTACATTCAAGATGTAAGGCCACAAAGGCCGATTAGATAAAAACTGCCCAAAGTCACGCCACGTGGCTAAAACAGCCGGATGAACTATAGTCTCAAAGTACATGCAAATAGCGGTGAAGTTTGTTTATTGCTAACATTCCGAGAACGTTTTTATAAAGCAAAATAGACACAGAATAGCACTGTAAGATGGTCGCCATGTTGTTTACTAGGGCGGCAGACTCGCGGCTGTGGCCGCACCTGACTGTAGTTAAAGTGAGCTTAAGACATGCTAAATCTCGGTCGATTTTGCCAAAAGGTCCATTTTCAAATCGCAGTGGATAAACATCAATGTAATCGATGCCAAAAAAAGGCATATTTATTCAACTTACTTGGTTTAACTGATTAGTTTTCTCAAGAGAGAATGAGCTTGCAACTTATGAGCAAGCTGGCGGTGGTAAGAGGAATTCGCCAAATTTTTTTCAAAACCAACGCTCTTAACTCACAAGTATAACAACACGATTAACAACAACCTTAAATAATATAATCTCATCCCCATGTGCCGCACGGCGCTGTCAGCTATACCTATAAAGGTAAATAGTGTGGAACTCAGTACCACCAGAGATCCGCAATTCGTCACGCTTAGACTGACATTTGAAGGTAGCCGGCTTGAAAAGTTATTTTCTCGCTAATCTTCTTAGCAATGAGGTATAGTAGGGTTCCGAAAGTAGCAGCATCCGTCACTATGAGCGCTCGTTCGAATGGGACTTAAAGAAACGACAGGCTCTAGGAATGAGACGTCCAAGGTCTATGGTGTATTTCCGTTTGCGGCAATTTACCCGAACTATCAGAAATCAAGTTTCCTTCTGCTTAATGTGGGTGGCCAGGATTCTTGAGTGTTGAGTTTAGGTTACGTTCCCCTGATGTCCCACGCAATAATAACTGAACTCCAAGGTGTTCTACCACAATGACAGAGCGCGTAGCGCCGAGAAGCCAAGACATGCGCATGAATGCACAGTTCTGTTGTTTTAGAACAAACTGTGTATTTTTTTGTCCACTGAGGTGGAAGATCAGGTCACCCCCTTTTCCACTTTAGTGACCTGCTCTTCCAGTTATTGAAAATAATATACAGTCGAACCTCCACTAACGCCGGCCACGTCTCCACAACGACCACCTGTTTACAACGGTCACTCTTTTATTGTCCCGGAGGTCAGTCCATACATTGACTCTTGTTTAACCCTCTTCACAACGGCAACGGCCACTACAGCGCGTCCTCAAATGCCAAAATAACCTCTAGACAAACGGCCAGTTTTTTCAGCGACTGAGGTACGGAATGGTTACGTAATTTGATCTGTATGGCGCGTTGATGATCGTGACAATCGTTTTGATTGTGTTCCATTTAATAATGCTACAGTAAGTAAAAATTGTCTACAAAACTTATAGCAAATGTTGCGAGCCTTGCTTATTTGGTCATGTAAACGTTTTGATTCGAAAAATCATTTGTAAATTTTTTTGTGTCTGATTTTAGCTCTATATATCAAAGTTTTTATGATTGGATTACCCTTGTGGGATGTCGAACTTGGCACAATTAACGGGTTGTGACTCGGACCCTAAAAAGACTTTCATATTAAACCATTAGCTCCGCATAACGGCCACCTCTCCAAAACAGCAACTTTATTCTGTCCCCAAGTTGGCCCTAGTAGAGAGGTTCGACAGCAGATACTTTTGGTCTGTGCAAAACAATGAGCTACATCAAGATCACGTGATTTAGCTTCCTGGTGAGACCGTGTAAGCATTGCTTGATTGGCCCCTTTTGACGCTCTTGATCAATATTAGATCTCAATCGGATGAAAAAAATTCTTGATTGAGGTGGAAGCCAGCGTAAGTACTCTAGAGTTGAGAAAAAATTCTTGAGTAAATAAAAAAACCTTTGGTGTTTGCGAAAGTAAAAACCAAATGTTTTTGACTAGATGCTAAAAACTCTTCACTAACAATGAAATATTTTCACAGGTCTTAACAGCTATCACAATGGCATACACTAAGTGTTAGTTTAATTCCAACAAGACATTTTACGAAGGCAGCAATGGTATCAATTCCCGGGTATGCATAATGAATATTCTTAAATGTAGTTTCTGCTTAATAGGAAAGTAACACTAATTAGCAGGAATCATTGATAACAATACTAAAAATACGAGCAAAACAAATCGAAAAGATCGGCCATTTTCCAGGGGCGTCCAAAGACAGTTATTGGCGAAACATGATTATAAAACGAGGCCTACTCTTTTTGAAGGTACTGGCAAAAGAAAAGCTATTTCCCACTACCTGGGGAAGAAGTCCAGCTTCCAGCTTAATAAGATGGGTAATTAAAACACCCGCCTCTTGTCCCCTCTTGAACTCGATCCGTGACCGCATAATAAAAGCGTTTTTAAAGCAATTTACGGCCGAATCCCCACTGAATCGCCATCTCTTACACCAACCCTTGGACGGACACAAAACTGCTAAAAAATTAAACTGGCTTAACTCTCCTGCGATTTAGTCAGCGGTCGTCACTTTGCCCGTCAACAGTGGTCTTTTCTAGTCTCCTTCAGTTTTCTTTCTTAGTCTTTCCATCCAACCACCTGTACTTGAAATTCTAGAAATAGTTAGTAATTAATTCCCATCCGAAGATCTTCAACCAGCTGAATTTTGACTGCCAAAAAGAGTGATATTTGGCGCGGAACTCTACCTGCTTCTAATTTTTTTTTTTAAAGGAGGAATGATACCACTATCATGTAATTTTTTTTCAGGGCACAACTTCTGCAACTCACAAAACAAAAATAGCAAAGACGATTTTCTAAGGAAGGCTATAAACAAATATAAATAATGCGCTTTTATTAAAAAGGAGAACTTGACAGCTAATTAGAATACTTTTGGCAAGCTGATAAATTACTTGTCATTGGATGAACGAACGTTCCGTCAAAGTTAAAAAAAAGCATATCTTTTGCCGTATAAGAACTAAGCATGAAACTGAGATGTCTGTCTCCTCTTTTTTTGCTAGTCTAACGTGCGCGTACCTTCAATGTAAATTACATTTTCTCAACTGTTTATTGAAACAGGATTACTTACAACTAGTAATCAGGAGATATAAATTTAAAAAAGAAAAAAAGCATGTTTAATAATTATAATTTGTTTTTGCGAGCAAAGAGGTCCTCTGACCTTTGCTGGGTTAAGTTATAAATTTTATTAAACGTTTATGTCAGCTGATTTGATTTTAACTTCATACGGACGCGCTCAGGACCCTATTCGCTTAATTAAATGCCGGAAAGAAACGTAAACTTTTCTGCATGTTCCCTCGATTACACATCTTCAGCTTTCCAAAAAATGAACTTTTGGAAATCATTCTTAACAATCTGTCGAACTTCTTTCATTTTCCAACCGAAAACGACTGGATTTAACGATGAATTGAGCAGCACTAGAACTGTTGTAAATTGTATGGCTCCCTTTACAGCTGCATTCGGCTGAGGACTCACTAGCAACAGAGTTAAGGTGATTAAATACGGACAATAACACAGTAAGAATACAACATATACGTAAAAGGTTTTGATGGCTAAGTTCTTGATTCGGGCCATGCTTGTGAAACTTGACAGATGCATTGCCACTTGCGCCTGGCTGTTTACGCTTGCTGCGTGTTGACGAGCGACGAGAAAAAGTTTAATGTATATGATACTGAGCAAAACCGTGGAGCAGTAAGCAACAATAAGCAAAACCACTTCTCCAACTTTAAAATACCAGAAGACACATATGAAAATGGTAGCCAGGGAAAAAGTCCACGACGCAAGTACCACGGTGATTATTCGCTTTGTAGTGACTAGTTCATTGTATCTAAGATGCAAATAAATTGCAAGAAATCTATCCACTCCGATGAAAGTCACCACCATGAATGAGCAACCAGTTAACGAAGCTTGTATCAGGAAAAATGCTAGCAAAGTTTCATGAACGTTCTCGCAGCTATAATTTTGCCGAACTTTTGAAATTACGGCGATGTAGAGTGGATGACCTAGTACCCCAGTGGTGAGGTCTGTTATCGCCAAGCACCAAAGCAGAGTTCTTGTTGACGAAGGAATAGATGAAGTTTTTCTCAGCGCAGAAATTAGGCTCGCGTTTCCAAAAACCGCGGTCACCGAGAGAAAACCATTAAGGACACACATTACAATATATAGAGGGTAAACTTCCTCAGGTTTTCCATAGTACTTCATCAAAACCTCATTGCAAAGTTTGAGTGATGCTGCCATTTTAACTTCTGCATACGCAGCATCCCCTGACTTACAAGTTGGTGATCTTGCGCGTCAAGTAGTTTTTACGCGGTTGACGTTCTGAAGGTAATTTGTACAAGGAGAATAAAAAACTTTCTTAATTTTCTTATTTTACGTAAGCGCATGAAATTAGCACCTTTAGTCGTCATTTGACTGACAAATTAGCTCACCGATATAATTTTTCCAATAGCTTGATTCTCTAATAGTAAAACAAATACAGTCCTCTTGAACAATTAATATTGATAAAGTTAAAAGAGTCCAGAATAAATATTGTACGAAAGTTATGTAATGTCAGTTTCATTTCTATTAAGACAATCATATCGTATTTCTTGGAGAGAGCAACGAGATGGAAGTGCTTGACAATCCTGGAATTGGTAATTTTGTTTTTTCTTTGAGGTTGACTGCTAAAAGGCACTGAAACAAAGTCAGCGCCAACTTTGTGGCTTGCTTAGCCTCCAGGCAGAAACCACTAAAAATTTAAATGAATGTATGTACGTGGCATAATTTGAATTGTCGGGTTTTTTTAATTTTATACCAAAACAACAATCCTCTATTTTTCATAACGTAAGCTGAATTATAAATTTTTTTTAGCTAAAACTGCCTGAAGGTACTTTACTACTTATCTAACATCTCAGTCGCTGATCATTTGGCGTCATTACTGAGTACAAAGAAAAAAGCAGTTGGTCTGAGTCTAAAACGACATGTTATTATTACTGACCAGGCGAATGGCCCAAGGTGAAAAATAGAGGAAATAAATCACCCAAATAGGAATTAGTTAAAAGATGATACCGACAAAACCGTCAATTAAATAACATTAAACCAACAGAATTAAACATTTTAAACTATGGGCTAACTTCTCACTTTTCTCCTGTCATATTAAATGGGAGATAATTCCGCTACAATGTTATTTAGCGTTGCTTAATGATTAAAAGCAAGTGGCGGCGAGCATCTCGTGATGGAAAACAAGTAAAAAAAATTTGGCAAATTAAATAATTCTATCTACTCAATCGGCTTCTACTTAGCTTTTCGGCCTTTGTTTTCATTGTATTTTCCAGTAAGTTAAGGTGTGTTGTCAGAACTGGCCGGGGTAAACCGTTTCCTGATAATTTGCACAAATAAAAAAACCACATTACATCAAGTCCATAAATTGCCTCCTATGAATTGTCATTTTCAATCTTTATTAAAAGGCAATGAAGTACGATGAGCTTTTTCAACGAAGAAATCCAACACTTGCATACTATGTCGGTTAGATTTATCATATAAGTTAAGGTGGCTCGATACAGTTTTTCAGGGCCAAGACCTCCCACGTTTGAGCATAAACTACGTCGCCATAAGCAAAGTTTTGGAAAAATTGCCACCACAGTTGTATAAGATAAAGATGAAAATTTGTTATGATCAGCGTTTCAACGGCATCGGAGTTGACATAGCAACGAAATGACACTATTACCTATTTTACTTGCAGCAGTATATCTCAACACTGGCAACTGTTCCTCCAAAATCGTTCACGGGAACTTTTTTCTTCAATAGCGGCCTCGATGTTCGTGAAGTTTAAGCGAAATCTGTAAGAGCGTTATCGAGATATTTTGGGATGAAGTTTTTGTGGTTAGAAACACAGTAAAAAATGGACAATATTGTTGTTTGGCCTTTATCTGTAGAAAATGAAGCGATTTTTATATGCAATTTAACCTCATAGTAGTTTCAATCTTTTTAAAAACGTGTGTGAAAGATCATGGAGATAGTTCCAGCCGATTTTTAGAAAGAAGGGTTTTATTAGCATGTATCGAAGCGCTCTTGTTAGTAGTTTTGTAAACATTTCAGTCTTCTTTAACAAATTAGCGAATAATTTTTAAACCGCTCGATAGATTTTTTTTAAAATTTAAGATTCTTGAGAATAACCTTTCTTTTATATGACCTTTTAGTTTCAAGATTATTGATACATTGTAAGACATTAAAATAAGGGCTAGAATTCGTTACTTTTTTATCGGACGTTTCGTTATTACAAGTGAAAGCCTCTCATTATTCAAGGCATTGTCTCCAAGTTTCATTTTCACGTGAACAACTGTAACTAACAATGCATTTGACATATGCAAAAATCCTAGCTATTGTTATGCGCGAAAATATGAAACTTGGAGACAATACCCTGAATAATGAGAAGCTCACATTTGTAAACACAAAATTTCTGCCAAAATATTGGCGAATTGTAGTCCTTATTTTACTGCCTTACAATATGTCAACAATCTTGAAACTAAAAGGTCATATAAAAGGAAGGTTAATCTCAAGAATCTTAATTCTTTAAAAAAATCCATCGAGCGGTTTAAACATTATTCGCTAATTTGTTAAAGTAGACCAAAATGTTCAAAAACCGCTAACAAAAGCGCCTCGATACATACCAATCAAATCCTTCTTTCTAGCAATCGGCTGGAGCTATCTCCACGGTCTTTCACACACGTTTTTAAAAAGATTGAAACTACTATGAGGTGAAACTGCATGTCAAAAGCGCTTCATTTTCTACAGATAACAGCCGTAAATCAAGAATATCCATTTTTTACCGTATTTCTAACCACCAAATCTTAATCCCAAAATATCTCGATAACGCTCTTACAGATTTCGCTTAAACTTCACGAACATCCAGGCGGCAATTGGAGGAAAAAGCTCCCGTGAATGATTTTGGAACAACAGTTCCCAGTGCCGAGAAATACTTCTGTAAGTAAAATAGGTAGTAGCGTCATTTCGTTGCTATGACAACTCCGATGTCATTGCCACCCTGATCATAACAAATTTTCATCTTTATCTAATACAACTGTGGTGGCAATTTTTCCAAAACTTTGTTTATGGCGACCTAGTTTATTCTCAAACTTGGGAGGTATTGGCCTTGAAAAACTGTATCGAGCCACCTTAAGTTCAGGCATATAGGAACTCCAAAACTCCTGCATTGGAACAGAGTTATATACTTCTGCTTGTATTTACTGTCATTTTATGGGCTTCTGTACCCATGATTTAAAGCATTTTTAAAGGAGAATTTACGGTGGACGTTTTTGGTTATTTTTCTAGGTTTATTTAAGGCCCTAGAATCAGTCGCGATTTCGCAGCGCACGGTAACGAAGCAGTACTATATTAAAATCCTCTTAAGCCTCCCAATCACAGAATTGTCGTTTCCTTCAGTCCCTCACCCAAGTCCTTCGACACACTCCCAGTAGTTAAAATCATTAAATGCACGAAAGATACATTACTGAACTATCAAGAAAGATTGCAAATAAACACGAATAACTAGTTTTATTAAAACCGTACATGCAAGGCAGAAAAATGACAGCTAAATAAATGAGGTCATAAATTGCCCTTGGCAAGCATTCCATGCTTGAAAGCCAATCCGTTTAAGTCCCAGACAAAATGCACTAAAAAACCTTTGATGCCTTATCACTATCTGATGGATTTGAAAAAAAGAAAAAAACAACCTTCTATAGTTGTTAAAGCTAAAGGAGGCTCTCGACGACGAGCTACACACAGGTTTCCCGCCAGCATTAATTTTTCTACTTAGGACCAAGCTAGACTAGTTGCGATTTTTTGATGTTTGTCTGCTGAACGTGTAACCCAAAGGAAGGCTTCATCTGATTTATGGAAAAAATAACTTTTAAAATAATTCTTAACGTTTTGACGAACTTCCCTCATTTTCCAACCAAACACCAGAGGGTTTAACGATGAATTGAGCATCATTAAAACTGTTGTAAGTTGAACAGCTCCCTTCATCGTTGTACTCGGCCGTGAACTAACAAACAACACAGTTAAGACGATTAAATAAGGACAATAACACAGCAAAAATACAACATATACATAAAATGTTTTGATGGCCAAGTTTTTTCTCCGAGCCATGCTTGTGAAACTTGAGAAATGTATTGCCACCTGCATGCGCTTGGCTGTTTATGCTTGCTGCGTGCTGACGAGCGACGGAAAAAAGTTTAATGTATATGATGCTAAGTAAAAGCGTACAGCTATAAACAAAAATTAGCAAAAGTGTCTCCCCAGCCTTAAAATACCAGAAGACAGAGATGATAGTGGTAGCTAGTCCGAAAATCCACGACGCAAGTACTACGGTGACCATTCGCTTTCGAGTTACTAGTTCGTTGTATCTAAGATGCAAGAAAATTGCCAGAAACCGATCCACTCCCATTAAAGTCACTGTTGTAAATGATGCAGAAAGTAACAAAACTTCTATCATGAAAAATGAAAATAGTATTACATGGATATTCTCACAACTATACTCTTGCCGAATTCCTGACATGACAGCGATGTAAAGAGGATGGCCCAGGAAACCAGTGGCGAGATCTGTTAGCGCTAAACACTGTAATAGAATTCGCGTTGACAAAGGAATTGATGAAGTTTTCTTTAACGCGAAGATTATACTTATATTTCCCAAAACCGAGGCAAAGAGAGAACGCCATTAAGAACACACATAACCAGATATAGTGGGTACACGTCCTCTGGTTTACCATAGAACTTCTTCAGAACTTCATTGCAAAGATTGAACGTTACTTCCATTTTCTATCCGCTCCACGATGAATAGCAAGCACCTTGTTTCTGTCTTACAAAGAAAAGAAGTCCCATTACCCGCAGATGACATAGCTGAGACTTAATGAGAAAATTGGCACAAGGGGCAATATAATGTTTTTAGATTAGCACTTTTCGGCCGCTTTGGAGTGGCAATTAACGCACTTGTCTAATTGTTCAAATGTTTGATTCTAAGAACGTGAGCTCGACCCTTGAAGCACTTGACATGTCGCAAATGATCTGAAATGACTCCACAAAATGAATTATTTTACCGAAGTCTATGAAGAATAATAAGCTTACTTGTATCAGCATACAAGTGTTTCTATTTAGTTTTTTTCTCTTTGATCTAAGACTACAAATTGAACTAAATTACTTGGCCCAGTGGAACTAGTTGAATATCGCTTTAGTTCTCCTGTCCTTTTCATTATTTTTTTTTTATTACCAAAACATTATAAGTTACACATGTTCCAATAAAAAGCAACAATATCTAAACTGGGGGGCAATCAATACTGTAGCATGGAGCGAATCAAAATTTGGAATTCAGAAACAGTGCTTTTTTGTAACTGACAGGTAATAATTCTCTCAAGAGGGATATTATGGTCAAATGATAATGACGCTGTGAATCGTAGCACCTGATATTAAAATAATTATTGCTGTCTTTTGGGCCTCTTGCTGCCTTGAATTATATCCCTCCTGAGCAAAACCCTGAATGCTTATTAGTATACCTGCAGGGAGCTGTGATGTTTTGTTGTTGTCGCGTGAGTTTTTCTGATATTGCTTCCCCCAAAAAGTTCGCTCCTGCAATTCTTAATTTAGTATTTACAAGGCTGACTGAACGGAAAGAAACAACTATTTTGATTTTTCTCCGGCTTCTTAGATTTATATTATATAGTGAACAAATCAGAACTTCCTTTTTTACGCTCTTCATTCATTCTAAGGGTTCTCTATCTAGTCTTGACTAGCAATAATGTTTTTACTCACGAAATTATTGCTAGCATCGCAACACTTCACTGTAAAATATGTTTTCAGTTATTAATCAGGTATTTGTTAATATTAACTCAGACAAAAAAAAGGCGCAAAGCCCAGAACGTTCGGTTCTTATGCAAAATTAAACCACTGACATTTTATTATTCCAAAAAGCGAAAAATACGTTAAATGGTACTTCTACACTCGTTGCTCATCCACTTTCTTTTTTGATCATCAACAAAACCGACGAAAGACGTTTTATTAAACAGTTGGTTACGAATGACGAAAACGAAACATATGAACTGAGCGAAGCGTCTTGTGACAATCAGGCAATTTTTACCAAAGACAACACCAACCTTTTTTCTCTTTAATTCGAGGAAACATTTATTTTTTTCTCTCCTGATTTGCAATATAATCCATTTTATGCTAACAAAGCAGTTCAAACAAACATAAAAAAAAAGTTTTAAATTTTAATATTAAAACCGTAAAAGCAAACTAGTATGACAGCCCAATGAATTACTTTTGGCAAGCAAAGCTTTTTCTAATTAACTAATAAAGATTCAACCTGCTGTATCGTTGCGGTATGATCTAAAAACCAGTGATGTTTTCTCTTTAGGTAAATTCTTTAGTTGGCCTCCTGTGAGATTAAAATGAATTTGTCAAACATTTTCTTGAATACAAAAGCATGTTAAGAAAAAAATAGAAACTGTCAATGAGTGAACTTTTGAAAGCTAAGTCAGCTAGTTCTTGAGTCGTTAATTTTTCATAATGTCATTGGAAGCAACCAGTTGAATCAGGGAAAATGGTTTTAGCCAGTCGTGAGAATTTGCCAGATTAAAAAGGAGTTTATAAGACAATGTTGTTCAACAACAAAATACCAGCAAAAATCCTATCTTTATCCTAAAGCCGACAATAATACCGAATTCCGATCAAACCATTACTACACGTAATAATTTCATGCACATGTCGTTATTGAAGCGCGCTTGCCCCTAGATAGGGACACTCCCTATGATGGCGGCCCATAAGGGGGTAGGGAGGGGGGTCCACCCTCAAAGGTTACCTTTTTCAAGCGTCAGGTATAATAAAGTAAAACAAACGAAATTGGCGATTCGGTGACGAATTTAAAAATATATTCAGTACTTTTTAGTTTTGGAGCAAATGAACTTGAAGTCAATTAAATTTAAGTTTTGAGTAATTTAAATTTAAATTTGGCGTTTGAAATGATATTTGCCTTCATAATCATATTTCGTAGTGCAATGGACAGGCACTCCAAACGTGAAGTGGTTTTCTTATACTCATTACCACTTGGTCAATTAATTAACATTTAATTTTAGAAAAAAAAATGGTCAGGGTTGACTAACAAGCACAATTTTATTTCACTCGGTCATTCTACGGAACTGCTGGGGATTCTTTTCACTCGCTACTTGTACAAAGCTATCGACGTGAAAAAAGGTAACAGCCGTCTTAATACTGGATTTAAGCGAGGATTTGATAGCACTGACCACCAGAAACTGCTAGTGAAATTACAAAATCTCAGTGTCTCTAAATTGCCTTTTCCCTGGTCCCAAAGCTATCTGACTGACAAAAACAACGCGTCCGAATCAACAGCTTACTCTTCACTCGATCAAGCATGGAGGTCCACATGGCTCTATCCTAGTGACCCTTGTGTTCAACCTCTTCAAGTGTTGACATAAAAGACCTTCTATCAGTTTGTAACACTTTCACTGTTTTAGATGACTCTAAGCATTATGCAGTTAACTTTAAAATAAGGATGTTAATGTAGGGCTTGAATAACAACGACTGGATTTAAGTCGCTTTTCATCCTCTTGTTGTTTGTGAAAATAATTTTCTCATAAACCTTCAAAAGACCAATACTGTCCGTTTGGCTCTTACAAGGTGCTGGAGCAATTGGCCATACCATCCATAATTAATGTTCCTAGCAATTGCCCGTTGTTGACTCTGTCAAGGACCTTGAAGGCTTCTTTATTGTTCGTCTGTGTGGTCAGGCACTAGCAAATTGAACATTGCTACTGAAACTTCAGATAGTTCAGAACTTTGCCGTTAGACTGTTAGGGAAGAGAAAATACGGTCACATAACGCCAACACTCAAAGAGTTTAAGTTTCTTCCAGTACTTGAGTCTTTCGGGCTTAGGAGACGCTGCTCACATGTTCAAGTGTATGCAATCAGGCACCAACTTACTTAGCAAACATGTTTAAAAAGAGATCTGAAAGTCAAAAGTACACTAACATCAATCTTACTCTCCCCTTGTGCAGCATTAGCACATTTAGTACCAGTTATCCCCAATTCGTCACGCGTAGACACATTTGAACATAGTTTGAGAAATTATTTTCACGCAAGTTTTCTTAGTAATGAGGTACCGTAGACTTTCGAACGGTAGCCGGCCCCCGTTACTTTGAGTGTTGTGGCATTTCTAAGACTCTGTTTTTCTCCGAAGCGAACGGCTTGGAAACTAAAATTTGATAGCATTTTGTTTTGAATGAGGGTATGGGCATGATTTTCAATTGAACAGGCCTAGCGAGCGTAAAAATTGCATTCAGTCTGAGGATTAATGAGACAGACGCAATTTTATATATTTAGGCATGACAAAATTAAAGGGACCATTGGTACTTAGAAATAACATCTCATAGGCATGGAAAAAATGAGTTCATACCCTCGCCGCCCAAAACTGACCAACAATCTTGGACAAAATAAATGGAAAACCTAGACCCCCCCCTCCCCCCCAAATCAAGGATGGGAAAATGGCGCGTTTTTGCCCTTCGCGCGCCTTCACCCTTGATTTGGGGGGATGGGGATTTGCTGTTCCATTTTATTTTGTCCAAGATTGTAGCTAACCTTTCGTCCCAGATCTCTCGCCGGGCTGATGTTTCATTCCCAGTTTTTGCTCGTCCGGCATGCCGATCGTGAAACCATTTGGGTTTGGCATGCCCGGCATGCCGGGCATGAAATTGGCATGCCCAGCATGACTGATTTTGATGTCCGCTCCAGCATCATATCATAACATTCACCGGAAGCATATAACCCATGTTTCTGCATTCCCATAATCGCCAAATATATCTCAGGGGAGCTTGAAGTTACGGGTTTCATTCCTGGCAATAAATGCAGATTTCAACCAAAAAAAGTTATATTTGTCATAATGTATGTCACGGGATCGACTGGCAAAACTGAAGAGAGATCTAAGTTCTTGACCACGCTGGATTTATTTAAAAAGCACAACATAACAACTGCATTCATGAAAAAAAAATGGAATACTTCACTTGTATTCAAAGATCAATTAATGCTTATATGCATCCTTTCGTTGTTTTAAAATTGTGTCCTCTAAAGTGAAAAGGGTAGGTCAGGTTCTTTTCCAATTTAATGACCTGCTCTTACAGTT